GAGGCGGCCTGGATGTAGCAGCGTAGCCTTAGGGAGAGCAGCGGTGCTGTGCTGCCGGTGCCCGAGGGCAGCCCTGGGCATGCCCGGCTTCTCGGCAAGCTGGGGGACTTGGTGCGGATACTGCTCCACAGGGTCGGGGGAGTTATTCAGGGCTGTCAAACTGTGCAATTGCATAGACCCTGTCTGGAGCTCTGAGGCCTTACGGAGTCGCTCCTATTAGGCTTTACTTGGGATGCTGAGCAGGTTATGTTAATGCAATTCAGGACACACTCCCTTAAAGAAAGCTTTGCTTTTGAGGTAAATGCATGCATGATGACCTCGGAATTCTTCAGAGAGAGACTGGATTTATTACCATAACACTTAAGGATTTGCTTCTGATCACTACTGCTTGTGTTTTTCAGATGTTGGTAGTGCAGCAGATAAGATTAATTTAATACCTCAAGATTTTTTTGCGGAACTGGTAAGTAGGGCAATAAATGGGATGTGGAAGGGCTTCTGGCACTCTTTGATTCTAGGAAACCTTTTTGTTTACACTCTTCTGGTTTTTGTCAGTTGCAAAGGGAATCTTATGTATGTGGTAGCTTAGATTTACATGACTCATAAAATGGACCAGTCCTGCTAAGAGCAATGGGATTGCTTTAAATTTATGTCTTTATCACAGAAGATTTTTTAAAATGTATTTTTGCCTTTCATCTAAACGAGATATCAAGCTAGCTTGTCTGGAAAACATTCAGCTTGTTTACTGTAGTGTGCATTTGAACAGGATGACTGTAGTAGGAATAGCTAGTGGGGTAGTAACTAAAAGTCTTCACTGAGTTTATTTTCTTTTCTTGGATTTGATGTAACTTTAAAATCAGTCATTTCAATGGCTTCATTCTTCACTCTGCATTTAAAGCATCCTCCTGTTATCCATTTTTGCATTAACTGGTTTTCTTTTTTGTTTTGTAATCTCCGAGTATTTAAACTAGCTTTGTCTTATATATTAAAATATGCATTAAGAATGTTTTCAAACTTACTTTCTTTACAGTGTGAACAAATAATTCAACATCTGAACCATAAGATCCCAGGTGTAAATACAGCTGAACTGTGTCAGGTAAGTTTGGATACTAGCACTTATAAGCAAGTATATTAGCTGTATATGCTGTAAAGGATAGATTCCCTGAATCCATTTTTTTGTGTGTGTATACACAAAGAGGTTTTAATTAATGCATAATTTATTATTATTTGTAATTGTTTGAACATTCTGTTTCTAGAGAATTCAAACATCTGGGATTGAGATTAATGTTGGTGACCTGGCAAAAATAGCTAACATTATTTCCTTTCTATTTAGGTAAGCACAAAATAATTTACTTTGCCTCATGCCTTTTTTACGTCCACCCCAACTTCATAGTGGTATTAAAAAGTGACATCAAATGTGGGTATAAAATGAACTGATTTGGGAAAAGGGCAAAAGTTTGTAGCTCTCAGTCACAAAAAAGAACTTTTGGGCTTAGTTTATGTTCTTAAAAAATGTGTAGTTACTTAATATATAGTCTCACTTTTTGTAATAAAAAAAAACTAAAGAGAAGAAATTGTTCTAAGATCCTGTCTGCAAGCTTTAGAACTGAGCTTAACTTCCTCTTTTATTTTCCCAGTAGTTCTAAAGCTTGCAGGCAGGATCTTAGAACAAAGTCAGCTAGGCCTTTGCCTGGAATAAGCATGTTCTAAAAAATTCTTGTTTCTTAGAGATTAGAAACCAGCATTTGTGCCCATTTGAAGGGCACACCGTTTTATAATGTTGAACTCTGCCATGATTAAGGTAGAGTTTTTAGGTAGTATTTTCAGCTATTGTTTTGCTGTAAGTTTTTCTATTTTCAGAAAGATAAAATTTTCAAGTTCTTGCTTGTTCTTTTAATATCTAGTATCTAAACATGTTATGTAACATTAATATGGCTGAAGAAAATATACTAGTAGAAATTTAACATACTATTTTTTCCTCTATAAAATATAAATCCTTAAATTATATTAGACCATGCTACTTGGAGGACCAACTGGTTTTCTCTTTTATTAATGTCTCTTTAAGAGGAATGGATCTGCATGAACAAACCTAGGGTGGGAATTTCTTTTTTTACCTGTTTCTGTAGAGGAAATCGAGTGGCAGTTTCCCTCTAGACTTGCTGCCTTTTCGTTGAGGGTTTATTGCATCATTTGACTCCTGTTAGTACCAATTATACCATTACCTAGAGGTCCTTCCCTGCCTTTTGGTGATACTTAAATTACCTCTCCTAAGTGTTTAATTGAACTGCCTTGTTTCTAAAGTAATAATGTTGTTTAACTGCTCTATGCACACATCTTTCACTGAATTATGCCTTTTTTCAGTTGCAACAGCACTTGGAGGCTGTGATTATTTTTGTTTTAATGTTGTGTTGTGCAAGCCCAGCAAAGCTTGGTCTCTGCATATTAAGACACATTAGAAGTCCAGTCATGTTGGTTTTTTGCATGTGCATACAAAAGACGAGTAAAATATTCTGAAAAAAAAAATAATCACAGGCTGCCTAATTATTGTAAAGTACATAGACACATAAAGAGAAATTAAAAATTGCCTATTTGGGGTGAAGTGAGAAATTTTATTAAATTCACGGAGAATGAAATTGATGTGGTGTTCTTTGGATATATTTACAGCACAGCAGCCAGAAACACTCTCTCTACGGAAGAACTCGTCACCACCTTGGGCAATGCAGTTAGCGTGCTGCCAAAACATGCAGTTCAAGTTATTCGTCATGTATGGAATGAGCAGGGCAAATCCATTAGTGTGTCAGAAGATGCAAGAAATATGGCCACAGTGGGGCAGGTAACTAAACGATAAAATGCAGTTGAGCTAACTATTAACTTTTCAGAAATGTCAGTGCTTCATTGTGTACGTTGCATTGTCAAGCACATGGTGGTATCTTGACTGCCGAAAGCTTTCGTGTATATATATATATGTTGCCAAATGTCTACCCGGATAAAGAAGCATATACAATAAAAGTTGTCTAAAAGCTGAACGGTTTTCTAATATTATTGTTTGGATGATAAAGTCACATTTCATACCTTTTTAAAAGTGAGTGCTTCGTAGTACTATGAGGGACGGTGAGTGGCAGTCAGTGTGGCAGACAATTGTATTAGCTGTTTATGTAAATCTGTTTTAAATATAATTTGAATTGTTCTTTAGAGTTGATAACACCAGCACTTGATTGTTTTATTCTTTGTCTCCCTTAAGTTTAAACTTTTTTTTAAAGATACTTTCTGTTGATTTTTCCCTTTCCTTTTTTTTTCCCTTTTTGAAAAAATAACACAGAGTGTATTTGCATTTTAAGATCTTTTTTTCTAACAACAGTTTAAAAGAGTACGGAATTAGGGGGGAAAAAAAAATCTTTGTCTGAGGCTTGATAGTAAGTTTCTTTAGCCTTACTAAAGAGCCTTTAGTAAGGCTCTTTTCACTTCTTTATTCAACAGTTCTGCCTATCATAAAAGGCTGAAAATGCTAACTTACCTGAAATGTATTTATGATGTACTTTGATTTATCTAAAATACAGTTAGGAAATGCCTTAATTTTTTTCCCATTATTACTATTATAAAATTTTTGTGCACTGTCCGAGGTTTTTATCATGTTTCCACTTGATTTAGAAACTTCTAAAAAAACCATGACAAAAGCATGAATGATATACAAACCAGGTGAACTCTGTGGCTCAAGCTCTTCTTACTAGATTAAACAGATTGCACTTGACTATTGACAGTACTTGAATAAGGAAAACAGATTAAGTGAAGTAACTTATTAAATTGCTCATATTGAAAGGAAGGGCAGATGATTTTGTCTTCACAATAATACCTGAATGTATATGTTTGTTTCCCACTTGGATATGAGCTCTAGATGTCCTATATTGTCTGTAAAACATCCATCCAGCAGAATAGCAATGGTAGGCTAGATCTTTCTTTAACATTGTTTCCAATGATTTTTTTCTTCGTAGTTTGTAGATATTAAATGGAAGCTGGGAGTTGCGATGAGCTCTGACACCTGCAGGTCTCTGAAGTATCCTTATGTTACAGTGACGCTAAAAGTGGCAGACCCTTCAGGACAAATAACAGACAAATCTTTTGAAATGACAATCCCACAGTTCAAGGTCTGTAATCAGTGTTACTTGATTCAGTCTCTTAAAAACAACAGTGACATTGTTGTGAAAGAGCAACTGTATACCTTGATACATATGTTTGTGTTACTTATTTACTAATACAGTCATTCAAAGATGAAGCATTAAATATTTATTTAAAACAGTGAAACTAAATACTTATTTCATAGCATTTAGTTCTACATCACTTATCCAAAAATGTTAATTTAGCAGTAATTAATCTGTTCTTTTACAAATAAGCTAACAACTGAAGACGTAAAACTTTTGGATCTTTCTTGTCAGCTGTCACTCTGCCTTATTAAAAACGGATGGAATATTCTAGATCTAGGGAACTGTTCCCCAGCCTCAAAATTTAAAACTTGGGTTAAGCCTAACATTTGCTAATGATTAGGAATGGAGATCAGTCTGCTTTGTCACCACTGGCTCTTAATTGCTATGCCTTCATCTAGGAACTTAGGTAACTTTGTTTAATTTTGCATAAATGTGGCACTTCTGTTGTCATTCTGTTTAAAGAGCGAATATATCACTTAGAATATCGTACAAGCTTATAAATAAATTCTTGAAGTTGGACTGGCAGGAATTTGAGAAGGATATTCTGAATCCTTAGGTGTTGTGAAATGTTGTATTTGTTCTGGTTGAAACCTATTTAATAGTTTGCTGTTCAACTACTGTAAGAAATGGATGCCATACTTCAGAAGCCTGGATTATTTCAGCTGCAAATAAACATCTGCGTGAGAAGGTTTTTTGGTGGCTTTTTTGTTGTGGTGTGAGAGCTACTTTGTATTTTTCTTTCGGTAGCATCTTCTCCTATTAATAGGCAAACCCATGCAAATAAGTGCAAATAAGGTATCACCTGTGTACATGTAATAGTGAATGTGCCCAAATGCCAACCAGCCCACAAAAAGAAAAGCAGAAACTTTCAGTTCAAGCTGCGAATTGTAATTGGAAGAACGAGGGAATGTGAGAAACATGGATTGTGATTTTTGTCTAACATGCTAGTTTGAACTACAGTTTCAGCTTTTCTTCAAGGAACTGAAATTTATCTTAACTCTTGCTTTTTAGAACTTCTTCAGACAGTTCAAGGAAATGGCGGCTGTTCTTGAAACAGTTTGAAGAAAACTCTTATTTACACTGAAATTTCGGACAGACTTGGATCAAGTAAACTTTCCGTTCTGCACAGAGAACAGAGTGCCATTGTTCAGCGCAGTATGTATCCTTGTCTTTTCGACAGGTATTTGTCAGTATCATCCTTGTATTGCTGTGAAGATTTCTTCGCTTTTGAATACTTGAAGCCACCTCTGCAGTGTTTGTGAAAATGTGTTCAGCTTTGTTCATCCTGGTAGACAAAAGATCAGGATGGGTATGGGGAAGCATCACTGTAGACTTTCTAATATCCAAGAGGAAGAAACTACATGTAAGAAACTACACATTTAACTCTGGATTTTGGAAAGATACCTGAAAATGTTGACTGGGAAGATACTGACAGAAGTGTAAATTCCATATTAACACTTTTGTATGTAAAATTGAGATGTGCTTAGACTCAACAATAATATTAGGTATAAGGAGTATATAAAGTTACACATAACAAGTGTACAGTTATTCTTGAAGAATAGCAATGTTAAGTAGTTAGTTGCAAGTATTTGCAGACCTGGCTTCCAGTCTTCTTTTAATAACTGGAGAATGTACTTGTTCTAACAGCTTGTTTATTTCAAATACTTATTTCCCACCACCTAGGCTTATAAAAACTGAGTTAATGCATTAAGCTTTTCTGGAGACCCAAAACTTATTCTCTGAAATGAATCCCAGAGGCTAATTTTAAATAAAGGTAGAAAGGTGAATTTAATTCAAAAGCATTCTAATATATTTTTGCCTTTGCATTTAATCCAACTCTAATCTGTGGCACTCTGCTTGATGTTTTGATCAGCAGTCTGCTTTCTAATTAAATTAGAATATTGTTGTAGTTGCCTCACTCCAAGCTCTGAACTAGAAGAGTCAAGAGGAAACTTGAAAATTCAGGCTGGAGTGTTAGCCAAGCACATCAGAGAAAGGACCACACTAAAAGTCAGCAAGATGTCTTTGCTTGTATTGTGTGGCAGGAGTCCGCTGGACTGCGTTGCGTGCACTCACTCTCAGAGAATGTCCTAACCAGCAAAATTTTGACTTTGAATCTGAAGAATGGGGGCATTTCCAAAGGGAGAGTGATAAATCCAGTGTGCTTGCATGCTCTTTTTTTTTTTGCTTGTTTTGTTTTTTCTTGAGTTTTCTGTAAACAAAACACAAACTGCAAATATAGTGGGGTATAATAAAAACAATACTGTTCGTTTGAGGATGTGCTGGTGGTGTAGTAGAGTGAGTAAATCTGAAGAGAGACAATTCATACTGATAAGCAGACTGAAGTTTATGCTGCAACTTCAGAATGGTAGAGACTGAGAGCCAGTTTTGCTGGGACAGATCCTCAAGTGATTTCAGGTCCCCTTAAGTGAGAGCATCTACCTTTCTAACCCATTTACATTTTGTTACTAACTTTTTTAGAAGCTGGCTGAAAGACATTGATACAGGTTACACCTGCCTTTTTTGTGTCATGAAAATAAACTGCAGCACACTGTGCATGCTGCATACTGCAATCCTTTCAATAGAGAGATACACCCCCACTATTTGGGCATTATGCATGGTGCATAAAAACAGTACTTGGAGTTGCTCAGAAGCCCAAATAAATGAAACAGTGTTGGCTTTAACAAAAGATAGTAAAAGTTTTGAGCCGTGGCCATTGATCTGGATGGTACTTCCTTTGTGCTGCTGAAGTCTGAGGTGTTTGCTTTGTGGCTGGGGAAAGCAGATTGCTCTTTTATGGGACCCTCTCAGTGTCACAAAATGGTCTCAGGAACAGACTTCCAGTTTGCCTTTTCCCTTGTCTGTCTGCAAGGGCTCGGGGCTGAACATAGTGCAAAAAATCCTCTCTGTGTGTGGAAAAGTGATGTAAGCAGCTGATTTTTCTTTAATTTTTTTTTTTTTTTTAATTTGCAGAAGTTGGAGTGTAAGGCTGCTATAACTGGGAAACATTGTCATGCTTTGGCCTAGTGAATTAATTGGTTTACATTAATGCAAGAGTTCCAGAAAAATAATACTTTTTTTAGTAAAGCTGGAGCCTTACAAATACTTCCCATTTGTTCTAATGCACTTAAGTTCTTCATATAGCTGGAAAGATTTGTGCCTTCATTGGAACTGGATGGAAAAGAAGATTTAATTAATCATGTCTTAACTTCTAGAAACGACAATTTAGTAGATGCTGGAAGGTAATGAGGAAACTTTCAGTTACCATTTTTCTTGGTCCACCACCAAGAGGAGAAAGTTGGCAGTCTTTGAAAAGTCGTAGATTGTTGTTTTTTTTTTTTTTGGTCAAGTCAAATATTCTAGAAATATTAATGAATACTTTTGAAATGTCCCTGAACCTCAGCATGTTGTAACTCTGGCTGGAAGATGTCTGGACATGTGTGCTATACCAGTTTACTGTCTGAGAATTTTTAGAGGTGTTTATGGACATGTAGGAGATGTGATTAAAAGTTGGCTATGTACTCAAACTTCTGAGATTTGTCCTGATTGCTATCAGTAGGAATTCCTATACTGAGTAATGGAAGAATTAAGTACTTTATTAAAAAAAAAAAAAAAAAAAAAAAAAACCAAACTACAAACCTAACACTTTGCAGGGTAGCAATATTAACATGTTCAAACAAGCTGTTGAATTGTTTGTCTATGTATGCAGAAACCAGATCTTTTCAAAGAGAATCAGAAGTCTTTGTGTGTTCCTAATTCTACTTCTTTATTGATATGAAATTGTGTAACATGAATATTTTTGTAACTCCACAAATAGTCATTAAACATATAGGTAACAAAGATAAAGATGGTCTGTATTTTGTTTTAAGCTTACTGCATCAAAGTCTGTCTCATAAATACTATAATGGGTAAAGTTCAGGACTAGACTATGACTAAACTTCTTTCCTTATTAAATTAGAATGAAGTTCAGACATACGCAGTCTTTCTCTGTGATGGGGTACCAAGGAGCTGAGGGATAACTGCAGGCTGCAAGGAACATTTGTATCAATTACTTACAGCTTGCAGGCTGCAAGGAATATTTGTATCAATTACTTACAGCTAGACAAAATGTTGTATTGAACCAGGAAAAGACAGAGGACATACGAGATTAATGAAATTTTGCAGGAAACTGCATTCAAGTGGTTTTCTTTCCTCAACTGTATTTAGGACACAAGTCAACAATTTTTCTTTTCAACATTTGCCTGGAACAGAGCAAGAGGAAGGAAGGTGGCAGGGGAAAAAAGGGTTTTACACAGTAACCAAACCCAAGAGAGGGAATAATGAAGGAATCTCCTGGCAATCACTGTCTGTCATCTTCATCACATGACTTTTTCTTTTTTTTGTATTAGTTTCAAACACACCAGCCCACTTGCAGAAAGCTATTTTGTAGAAAAATGGAGAAAGGCCCACAGAAAGAGTGCATAAATGGCTGTAGTCATGTCTGTGCACTAGTGTTTTACATACTTAGCTTCTGCACGCTTTGGCCTAGTCATAGCCAAAGTAAAAGCATGTCTCTCTTCCTGCTTCCACAAAATTGTACTGCCTTTCTTTAACCACAGTTTAAAAGTACATAACTTGCTGTTCACTGTGAGCCCATCCCCCTTTATTTTTTACCTTCCTGTTTTCAAGCCTTTGCGCTCTATTTAAACACCTGAAGATACATTAGCTTGAACCAATTAAAAACAAAGGTAGAGAGATGATAAATCAGGGGAGAGAAAGAATGTTGTTTCTTCTTCCTGCTTGCCCTGTTCCCTATTGTATTTGAATGTTTTATTACCCTCTTAACTGTGGGTGTGATGAGAGGGTAATTTCCACTCCTTTGCGGAGGCATGCAGCCACCTTCTGTTTAGCCCTTGCGGGTACTAGAATAACACACAAAAGTGCCTGAGTCATTTAATCTACCTGCAGCAAAAAATGCCCCAACTCTGAAGAACCTTTGCAACAGGGGGAGGGACTTAAAATTCAGCAGCCTCTATCCTATCCAGTACCCTGTGGTTGATCATGGTAGCGCTCATTTCCCAGACAGAGTTTTAGTAAAATGTTGTATGACTGTTGGTTGGGCTGCTTGCTTTCAGGGCATTCACTCGACTAGGAAGTTGGAGCTGTGCATGTCAGTACATGACATAACGAGTGCCCTGACCTGGGTTGAGCTTGCGTGGTATGCTGCTACAGTCCTCCCTTCCTGAGGCTGGGTCACCTGGTAAACAACTGGATTTGCTTGTCGCTGTGCAATTTTGGCCAAACGTTTCCTTTGGTTTTGCTTCTATTGTCCAGCACTGTCCATACATCCTCATCCCATTCCACTCTTGGTGCTTGAGTGCGTGAGGAAGCACATGTTAAGAGGGATGATGCTCAGCACTCCTCATACCCAGTCCTGGATGCTTTGAAAGACTTCCTGGCTCTTGTTTCCAAGGCTTTTCTGAGGGAGGCTGGAGAAATGACCTGCCATTTGAACTGAGTTACTGGGATATGTCTGTTAATTTTTTATGACTTTGTGTCGTTGAAAAAGTAAGGAAGCTGAGATTGCTGATCTTCTCCATGAAGGCTAATTTTAGTGTTTCTGGATTTCCTCTTCCCTATACTGCATTTTCCTCCTATGGCTAATTATGGTCTAGCTGCCCTAACTTGAGAACCGTTTCTGTTCAATATGTGTAGGTGCCACAGTTTCCAAATACCCTGTTAGTGTTTACATTACAAATATTGTTATATTTATAAATTGGAAATTTCAGTGTCAGTTTTCTATTTCATGTACTGAGCTTTGGAACAGTAAGTTTTAATATGCATATTAAAAAAGAAGGAAAATTCTATTATTTCATACAATAAATTTCTGTGCTGTATAGTATTTTAAGAGGAATTTGTCATAGCATCGGTCACCAGGTGGCACTGCTACATATAGTCTTGATACACGGTAATCCTTTGAGAGCATGACTGACAATGGGATAAGGACTTCTGGTTTTCTCCCCTGTGTGGCTTATATCTGTCACACTTATTCATGTCACCGTAACTTCCATGGTGACTAATGT